TTGGTAAGTGGGGCATCAACACGTGGCTTAGAAAACCGAAAACAATATGCGATTATGCGAAGGATCTTCGGTAGAGAAGATACGCGATTTAACAAGTCAAGTATAGGAATGTCCACAGTGATGGTGAGGACGGTAGGTACTCGCGTTTCGTTAGAGGGTGGCCCATCATAGTCTTCCAGTTCAGTCAACAACAATTTTGGCCATTTCTCTGGAGGATTGAGTAAGAAAGAGGGTCCCGTCCACCATAGAGAATGGTTGAGAAGTTCGGAAGGGAAAAGCCCCCGTGAGGCGCAGTCTACTGGATTCTCTTTCGTGGGAACGTGACGCCAGATTGAAGGGGGATTGAGATCGTGTATCAGACTGGTTCGGTTCGCGATAAACGTTGCCCATCGATGAGGTGACGATCTTATCCAAACTAGAGCAGTGGTAGAGTCAGTCCAGGCATGTAGTTCATCAATGGTTATACGATCTTTATAAGCATCAGCAACAAAACGAAGGAGCTTCGAAGCTAGTACGGCACCACAAAGTTCCAGACGGGGAATGGTGGACCGCTTGAGAGGGGCTACTTTTGATTTGCCGGTGATGAGATGACAATGTACGGTTGTGGCTGTCTCCACACGAAGATATACTGCCGCGGCATAACCCTTCTCAGAGCTGTCGGAAAAGGCATGAAGTTGTAGTGAACTAGCATGATCATGGGTAACACGACGAGGAATTAGGATGTTTTCAACTAGTTGCAGCTCGGACTGATATCGGGCCCACAGTGAAGCAATATTAGGAGGGACTGGATCATCCCAAGTGAGACCACAGGTCCACAATTGCTGCATAACGTGTTTTGTAAAAAACGTCATAGGGGACAACAGTCCTAACGGGTCAAAAACACGAGCAATGTCCGACAGAACAGTTCGTTTGGTGGGTGTAGTCAACGACGGTTGGGCTTTAAACGAAAAAGTGTCGGCTGATGGATCCCATTTCAAACCTAGGACCTTTAAATCAGCAAGCTCGC